GATGTCCCAATCTTTCTGTACCTGACTGTACAACAGGCACTAGCATATTTACCTCTTAAAACTTCAGAATTGTCAGAAAGTGGTAATTTGTTATGCACCTTCAATTCATGCTTTTAATAAGTAAAATTAGGCACTGAAAAAATGATTAACATTATCAAGTCCTTAAAATTTTTATACTGATTTCATAATATTTTATAACCTACTCTGTGAAAACTGTTTTGAAGGAAGTTATCACTTAAAAAAAAAAGTTATAATAAATAATTGTAAATTATTTGACATACATCCTCCCTCTCTTCTCCGGTGAGTATTCAAAGAAATTTTAAAAAATAAACAAATTTGGCATTAATAGAAGAAAAATGATGCATATGTTGTTTTTTTAATTTCTAAATTCATCTGGCAAGGGAAGAAACCATGAATTAGATACAAACTACTGGAGAACGCTAAGGAAAGAGGAGGGTTGGGACTACCGGACTTAAAATTATATTATGAAGCATACTCCCTTATCTGGATGAGGGACTGGATAACATTAGAAAATCAAAAATTGTTATATTTAGAAGGCCACGAATTGAGATATGGGTGGCATGCATATATATGGTATGATAAAGTTAAAATAAATAAAGAATTTAAGAATCATTCAATTAGAAGAGCTATATTAAAGACTTGGGAAAGATATACAGTAAAGTAAAATTGGCACCCAACCTTCCTCTAGGGATTGTACCACAAGAGGCATTTGCAAGAAAGCAGACTGTAGGAAGAGTAAAATGGGCAAGATACAGGGACTTATTAGAGTTTGAAGAAGATAAATTTGTAATGAAATCAAGAGAGAAATTAGAAGCAGAAGGGTTCACATGTCATTGGTTTACGTACATACAATTAAAGGAACGATTTAAATTAGACCAAAAGAATTATAAGATTGTAAATGAAGCAACATGTTTCGAAAACCAGTTATGTATGAACAATGATTATCTTATTACGAAAATATGTAAAATGCTACTACAAATAAAACAGGAAGACAAACAAAGACTGCATGACTATGTGGGCAAAGAATATTGGATATAATATACTGATAGAGCAATGGG